GATAACTTTGCTCTCAACGAGTGCAAAACACACACTTTACGGGTCACTAGCTCGAAACTAACAGAATCATAAATTACATGGAACTCAAAATAACTACTGCTCTTTCTTCATTCATCTCTGCTGGCTTTCTCTGCCAGGCTTATATACTAAAGAAGAGGGCATCTCGAACACACTCGGACTTCCCTGATCATTTGAGAAACTCATCACGCACGGCACCAGCGCCAACGCGCCAGCAACATCATGTGACTTCTGCTGTCATAACATTATCATTTACACTAGAATTATTATTTTTTTAAATTACTACTAGTTATTAATACTTATAAAAGCTGATACCCTGTTTGAAACTATGTCACTTCAGTGAAATTGGTTGACATCATTGTTTTTGTTTTTGAGTTATAATGTAATAAAAAGGAAGCAGAAGAAAGAAGAACAAGAAATTCAAGCTTTTTGCTATGATAGTTACTGACATTCCCAGAACATGTGACTCGGTCATTACATAGATATTGTTATAAAAGTATTATATATTATATTATAGTATTGTAAAATTCTGACGACCTGTTGAGGAGATATTTAAAGTACAATTTTGATGAACAATCCAAGCTATTCCTATATACACAATGCTACTGCCTGCTTGATATATGATTTCAAACCAAATACAGTCATTAAATTCATTAGCAAGATTTGTTTCATCGAACAACTCAATGTTTATACTGCCAATATAGATTGCATTTCTAATTTTATTATCTGTTAATACAATTTCTAATTTGTTTGAGAACTAATATATTGTAAAGCTGTATGATGTATTGTAAAAAGTTTAAATTACCACAATGGTGCCCAATGTGAGGCCATCTTACAGTCCTGAAATTAGGTTCAAAGATGTGCCTTGGTAGTGTAATGGTAAGAATGTAGTAGTTTTAGCCATTAAAAAGTGACTTACTAGCAAGTACTTGGTGATTAACTCTTTAGCCCAATTGGTAGAGAATTTACCTGGTGTGTGACAGGTGTCAAGTTTATATCCAAGTGAAGAAATATATATATGTGTGTGTGTGTGTGTATTGTAAAAAGTAAAAATGAAATGATGATCCTGAAATACAATCTTACATGTTAAAGAAGGGCATACACAGAAAATTAAGATGAGAATTTTGGATATGTTTGATGATGTTGTCAAGAGTTTTTTTACAATTGCAGTAAGAAAATTCTCAAAATATGTTACCAGAATAAGCATTATAAAGTTCTGTTGGCTCTTCTGAAATAAAATTTAGAAGACATATGTTTCTACCTAAATTATTAGCATAGTATGTTCTCATTTTTAATCTCGTGGCAGTCTTCTGAAAGAATCAGGTAAATTGAAAAGATTTGTGTTTAAAACTACCTAAAATATTAGCATAGTATGTTCTTATTTTTAATCTCATGGCAGTCTTCTGAAAAAATCAGGTAACTTGAAAAGATTTGTGTTTAAAACTACCTAAAATATTAGCATAGTATGTTCTTATTTTTAATCTCATGGCAGTCTTCTGAAAGAATTAGGTAAATTGAAAAGATTTATGTTTAAAACTACCTAAAATATTAGCATAGTATGTTCTTATTTTTAATCTCATGGGAGTCTTCTGAAAGAATTAGGTAAATTGAGAAGATTTATGTTTAAAACTAACTTGAATTCAAAAGCATCAGGCTGTTACTTAAACTAGGTATGAAATCCTGTAATGAATTTTAAAAATTTCATTAATAAATGAATTTTAAAACATTTCATTAATACATAGTAACACCTTTTGCAATTAGTTTCCTTAATTTCCTAGTTACTGAAGACTAAAGAACGTTAAGAAGTTGGACAAAATAATGGAAACATATGTTAATTTCCACATTTCATTTATTAATCTGGTGTTGGTCTACTGTGATCAAACAATAAAGCATTAACATAGTGTGGAACTGATGAAACAAAGTGTTGTGCATCAAACAGTGATATTTTTTACCATTTGTAATCAAAGCTACTGATTGTTGAGGGCTGAGAATGACCCAGTGGTTAGCATTGTGGACTGTAGATCAGCAAGATTTATGAAATGAGTCATAAGTGTTCATTTTAGTTCTTTTATGAGTAGAATAATCATGTTATTGAGCAACTGAAGTATAATCTGGTTTCTGAAGCTGCAGTTTTGTGTTGAAGTTTATGAACAATATCATTGTGAATCAAGAATATGACCCACACAAAAAGATACAAAGATTACCTTCAGAATTACACATGTTGTGAAGCCCCATTAATGTTAGTTTTTGTTTTCCTTATCAGACAATGTACATATCCAGCAGTCAATGATGCTTATGAAAGCTTTTTCTGAAAAGGATGTGGTTTACCAAACCCAGGTATGATCCCTATCATTTCCATATGCATTGTTAGTACTTAATTGTTTTAATATTATCAAAATTCTGTAAACATACTAGAACTGTATATCACAACTTTCTTTTTTTTGCTTGAATGAACATACCATTTGTTTTATATAAAACAAACTTGAATATTCATCATTATTTCAAGAGTAATTAATTTATCAGAGAAAGTATCTGAGCTCTATCTATATTATTGTATTCTAATTTTTAGGTTTATCCAGATGAGAATCATTCCCTCCCTCATGTAAAACTCCATCTCTATCAAACCATGGAAATATTTCTTGATCGTTGTTTCAATCAACAGAGGAAATAGATCTTCAGAAAACTAACATACTTCAATTGATTCACTAAAGTTGATAATTTTAGATACTTAATTTCTCATCAAGTATATTCAATTATCCCAGAATTTCATATAAAATTATATTAACTCTTTCTCTCAAATGAACTTCACAGTCAAACATTTCTTCTTCTCATCTTTTAAAACTGTGAGTTTCTGAAATACTGTATAGATTAAACATTTTTTAGAAGAATCTTATAATCTAACTTTATGCCAAATTATTACTTGCTATATAATAAAATATCAGTCAAAGAAGATTGTGAGTAAAAAAGATTATAAAGTGCTCCAGACTCAAGGGACAGAAGTCTCTGGGTTAAGTGACATGTCAACTTCTACCACTACTTTAACCATTGCCTAATATGTTAATATTTATTGTTTATTATTCAGCTATAGGATTCTGATAAATCCATTTTTATTAAGATTGTTGTTTTTGATACATCATAGCTGTAACATATTTCACAACTTTTCCATTAATTTGCTAGTGCATGATTTACAGCACATCTTATAATTTATAAACTGGTTATAGGTCATTCATATAAAGTTATCTTCAGATCAATTACCTCTAAAGCATTTTAGTTGGTAGTTTCTGATGTTGTTTAGTGTAATGTTTTAAAACTTTTGAAAAATTTACACTTTTACTCAATATTCTAATACTTGAGGTTTTTAAAAACTAAAATGAAAATGTTTTTGTAATTCGTTTAAACATATTTAAAAATGGTAGTTATTGAAGTTGTATATTAGTTTGTTTTTATCGTAGACAACAGAGAAATTCTTAATTAAAAGTTCTATTTCAGGTTTTAGCCAATTTCAAAGATATGAGTAGATAATTAGGTAGGTCCAGTATGGGAATTAAAATGAATCTAGGATTAATCATTATATTCATCACTAAAAAGTAGTTCTGACTCTAGCAACATTTAGAATCAATCTGGAGTTTATTTGTGACATTTATCTGTTAGTTGTTTTCCTTGTATTTTTAATGTTAACTCTATGGCTAGTGAAACCTAGCTACTAATATTCTACTTTACAAAATACTGCTTCTCTTCTTTTGTTTTACTCGTTACCTAAATTTAACCTCATGCTCTATGTAACATTCCATATTGAAATTCTTTATTTTTAATACTTTTAATTTATAAAGCTGTTACGTATAAAACTTAATTTATCATTTTTATTTAAACTATACAGTTAAAACTTAGGGTTACAGGTGGCCAATATATCTTTTAACATGCTTGATACTATACAGATGTAACAAAAGGTTACACATGTTTACAGCATAGGCATAATTTTAACAAGGGATCCAGGTACGTATTCCCCCTCATCCTTTTTAAGGCTAGAACACCTGTTTTTATAGAATACCTTTATGCATACCCTAGATACATAACACTCCCATCCCTCTTTTGAAGCCAAAAGTATGCTACTGGTTCATAGTAAGTGGTAATATAGTTCACATTATTCAGATAAGACACAAGGCTACAGATTACAGGTACCCATGTTACACACTATAGAAGTAAGATAAGATTACAAGTCGTCACTCTGATCATTAATAACATATTGTACACTACAAATATAAGACATCAGATCACAGATATCCAACATTTTTCAAAACATACATGAATCACACACATAAAGATACAGGTGGCCAGCATATTTGGTAACACAATACACAGGATAAAAGGGATTGCAATGTATTCATTTGAATAAATTAAATTGTACAATTGATGTGAATTCTGATTATCAACTGTTCAAATTATGTTCCTTACTAACAATGAAATATTTTAAAACCATCACTTACTTTTTGTTTATTAGCTAATCAAAGAATTAAAGTAAACATCTGATTATTAGGTTTATTTTTCTATGTTTAGTGATCCTAATCCAAATAGTATTATTTTTCTGTTTATTTAAGAACTTGTATCTATTTTATACCCATCGTTTTCTTTCCACACTTTTCTTCTTTTCTCTCAAACCTGCACCAATGACCAAACATTTCATTGTACCTAGAAGGATGTGGTTGAGTGGTCAGTGTTTTTATGGGTCAACACCGAGAATTGATGTCTAAGTCAATGATAATTAAAAAATAGAACAGTATATTTCTTGGTTTCTGTTCTATATGAGAAGTGTTTCCTTTTTGTAAATTCAAATATTTTGTTACTTAAGATCACCACTCCACTGTAAAAACAACTGTGCCATCATATCATTAGACATTTTAATTTGCTTAGAACTTGCATCAAAAAATAAAATATTCTTTACTTAGTGAATTATTTTACTTTAGTTGCATGATATTTAATCTATCTGTTGACTAAGTCATGTAAAAATGGTCAATGATAAATTCAATAATTAATACAGATTTTCATAGTCTGAAAATGCCTAATTATCCAAATTAACCATTTCCATCATTTTGTTTAATCTTTGATGAACAATGGGTTTTCATCACAGAGATGAATAAGGATAGTTTAGCTGCTACTTGAATACAAATTATAATGTGTAAAAATGCTAGTGTACATTTCAGTCTTTCATATTTTGATAACAAAGTACTCTGTAATTAGGTAATACTGAGTTCTGAAGGAATTATTCATTGTTACACTGTATGGTTATTCTTGTGATTTGCTGTGATAGAAAATATATAGTGTCTGAGAAAAAAAAGACAGAATGTTACGAATCATATTATAACATTACTTTTTTGCTACACTTCTGATGTCTTAATTTGCATTTTTTATTGTACTAAATTTCTGAAAAACAATTTTTTTATTGTACAGAACTATGAGGTGAGATAAAAATGTACCTTACACCTTCTTAAGTTGATTCTAATGTGTATGTTGAACATTTTAAAACTTCCACTTCATTTGTTATTATAACTCTTGAATTCATACCTGATTACTGCCATTTCACCAAAAATGTCTTCCCAAAGCACTACTTTTCTTGTCAAGTTTTTAAGTAACATTAAAATCTGACATAGAAATTGGATCTAATCCAATTAAGTTAGAAACATAGTGATTGTTTTTCCAATGACCATTACACAATTAAAAAGTGCCCACTAACCTTTATGGTGTCTTATTATATTGTTAAATAATGTTTTAGTGTATTCTTTGTTTGATCACTACAATCTCCTCTTTTAATATTAGTCATATCAAATGGTTTTTAGGTTTTCTGTAGTATGATGACAGTGGGGAAATACTTTTTCCACATTTCTTATTAGTCAAGCTTGTTATTCAAGATATAAATGATTCAGACACTGTGCCTATGTACATAATGAACTGATTTGTTGTAGATATATTTACCCAAGTTGTTTTTATACTTTGACTTTGCAGTGGAATAGAATGATGTTTGATCTAGACTTACTTAATGTGTTTGTATAGGTTATTGCATTATAAACATAAAAAGTGAACATTAAAGTACTCAAGAATAAAATTTTCATGCCTAATAATGTGTGTGTAATTAGTGAGTTGATTGTTGTTGTGGAGTAAATATTTAAATTGAATTATTTATATAATTAGTTTTTATTATCATTGTAATTATTTGATGACATAACGTTATTTCTAAACAAAGGCCTATACTACACTAGCCTTGGAAATGGAAGCGTATGTTTAAGTAAAGTGTTATAGTTTATAGACTGATCTTCTTCAATCAAATATGCAAAGTTCTCTTCAATCCCTCGTAAATTTCAATAAAGTAACGATCCTGATAATGTTAGTGTGCATAAAGATTTTAACTTTGATATTCATATCAGATCAATTACAAGGAATGTGCAGGAAATTGGGGATAGCACTGCACACTCAACAAGGTAGTTTTGGTGACATCCACTTTGCATCTTTAAGACTAATGGACTGAATTATTTAAACCTAACCACACTGAAACACTACATACATAGCTTAAATCTATAGCTAATTTTTAAGACTAGCCTTCTTTAAAATCATAAATAAGTGCTGCAAATTGTTTGTGCCAAATATTTTAGGATTTAAATATGAATGCCCAGTAACCTTCAGACTGCTTCTTGTTGTTTCAAAAATACTTTTTCGAACTTTGACAAAATGATCTTCATTTTTGCCATAGAAGATATTCTTGGTAGGAAAAGAATAATAAATAGTATAGTTTTCTTCTTTTAAACATGTGTAGGGAGTTTGTTTTTTTTATTTTGTTTTCAGGGGTGCTTTTTTCAAAGAGAAATACTGATGTTGAGAGGATATATCAAAAGACACTTTAAATTCAAATGTAAGAAAATCATAATTTTCAAAGGAAGATTTGTTTGTTGTGGGAGAGAAAAGCTTTGTAGGAAGAAAAAATACAAACCTAAAGAAATTTTGATTGTAAAAAGTTTTCCTGGAGATTTTATCTTAAGGAAATCCACAAGTAAGGAAAGGAGATCTGATTACAATCAAAACAATTCTAATATTCAAAACATTTTCTATCTTAGTGAAAAATCCAGTAAGAAGATAATAAATTTAAAAGAATGTTAGCTTCCATGGATTCTTGTTACTTTGGTAAGAGCCCTATTAGGAACTAGATCATTTAAAAAACTTCTGATTACAAACTTAGATAGCTTTTAAGTTATTGTGGATTTTATTTTTTGAGAAAACCTAATAGGAAGAGAATAAATGAAGAGAAACATCTGACAAGAAACTTAGATAAATCTGGATATTCTCCCCTATTGAAACAACATTAGAAAGAACATAGCTTAAAGGAAAGTTTCAGCTACAGAAGTTGAGTAAGCTATATTAAGATGATTTTGGGGCCCCACCGTGATACCATCCATGTTGCCATGTCCAGTGATGCACTGTCTCATGATGGCATGTCTTGACAATAGCCTTGCAACATTGTTTCTATTGCAAAACGATCTTTCTTAAGGATATCATGGTCAAAGCACACCACATCTCCCTGCCTGTTTTCTATAATCCATCTAGTATATACGAATGATGGTTTTCCAGTGCCCCTTTCAATAATCTGATCACACACAAATTCGTAGGCTCTGCTTCTAGTAATTTGACCAGTATGTCTTCATTTTGACTACCATTAATACCCATTTTATTCTCCAGCTGTTTGAGGTATGTGACAGTGTAATTGGAGGCATGGCTGGAAACCTTATTTTAGTGAACCTATATCCTGTTGGCCTTGTTTTCAGACAGAGATCCTTCATAATGATGTTGCATACTGTTTCGTGGGACACTGATTTTTCTGTTCAAGGATTGTCACCTGTTACAAGGTGCTGCACTTTGTTTACCATGGCTGGGGTACAACTTATTACATGTCTTTAGGTCTTTATTTCCAGGTGGTCTTTATTTCCCAATTTGATCCATATTCCTTTGTTTTATGTAGTACAAGGGATACCTCTATCTTGGAAATTCTGAATCATAAAGGACTGTTACATATTTTTCCCAAAAGCGGCCAATTTTCAGTGGTATCATTCTACCTATGAAATGCTAAACTATATCAAAATCTAGTTCTGATCTGTGTCATTCCACTGTGACTTTATGTTGGTTGTGGTTGTCACATGGCATTGTTAATTTGAATATTCAAAATCATTTGAATTTAATAAACTCAACCCTCAGTATATTTTAGAAGGGTTATAGCTCAAGGAA